ACCCCTTCCCGTTGTCTCTTTCCCTTCACTACGGCCAACCATTTTTCTGTTTCTTTCTCTCTTTTTTCATGTAGATGTAAAGTGCTGATGCCGAATTCTAAATCTTGATGGCAAATACGTTTTGGTAAATGTAATAATTGCAAGGGATGGGGATGCATAGCCTATAGTGTTCATAACGGGCAAGTGAGGAAAAGTACACAATTATTGTAAATGTTCATTGTTTTCATTTTGGATAAAAATAATAAATTTGACCGTGGCTAAAAGTTTTTCTTCTCATCGTATTTGATGGGAAATGTTGTCCTAAAGACAAGTTCAAAGCCTGCTTTTTTACTTGTTCAAATATTGTTTGAATAAAAGTTGAATTTTGGTCTGCATGTTATTTATTTATTTTTAATCTTTTTTTAACCCCTATTTTGAACATCATTTGAAAGGCTTTTAGTTATGCTTTTACATGGTTTATTTTGTTTTGATTATCGATTGAACATTTATTTTATCTCAATTTCATGATTTTAAGCTTGCTTAAGTATGTTGGACTATTATTGCTTGAACTTTATTTTAAATGGAGAGTAAATTCTTTGTGCTTAAAATCGAAACATTTTATTTTGAAAGCATATCAAGTGATTGTCCTATGAATCACACTCAAGCGATAGAGTGTAGAACAGGAGGAAGGGAAAAAGAGAAAGAGGAGTGCTCCAATGAACAATAAAATATGAGAATTGGGAAATAATTTATTTATGAAACGATACCCTATTTATGGGCAAAGATGGTACAATAATTAAAGTTGCATTTTTGCCCCTGAAAGTGGGGTCTGCACAGGTTATTCTAGGAATTATACTTATGTGGGCTCAGGGCTTTGTTGTTCTTCTGCTCGGTCGTCTGGGCCAACGAGGTGAGGCGATTAATACTGTCAGTCGGCCTGCTAGATAAAGACCATCGGTTAATGAACCACTTAGGAAGGGACGAGCGACTTGATTTCTGAAGATAGCCAGCGGGATAAGTTCGATCGGTTGATATTAGTCGACATGACGTATTAATTTGACCATTAACCCTCAATTTCCATCGGAGGAATTCATGTCGGCTGGGTAAAATTAGGTCGTGGAGCAGAGGGTGAGTATCTATAACCTAACTGGTAATTTATCATTGGGCAAGGAGATCACGCTGAAGGTTTCTCTGTAGTAATAAGGCGCCACTCAAGCGTGTATTATGTGATTGGTTCGGATAACTTTTGATCAATGTGAATCGGGCGGTCTTTTCAGCCTCCCGGTCATTTCTGATTGGCCCACCTTTGCCATGTCACTCTTTTTCAGGTCTTCAGATTGTCTTGAGATTTCGTTGACATTTTTTTTGTGTACAAATACACTTCCATTTATGAAGGATAATAGATGAACAAGGCCAATTGATTAAGCTTTTTTGCTCAAAATAGAAAGATGATTCAAAGAAACATTAGCATCAATCTCATAGATCTTATATGCACCCTTATAGCTTGGGATGTAAACTATATTAAATTGAAGAAAGAGGTGTTGTGTTATTTTAATATAATAAAATTCATGTTATTAATTTCTCAAACAATAATAATAATAATGAATTAAGGTATTTCATTTTTCATTGATAAAGTATTTATATCTATTCGATATGATCTTTTTTTATATTTTAACAATGTCAAATATAAGGAAATTGGAAAAGAGATATTTGATCAGCTTTCTTATTTGATCGTACACTAGTAAAATAAAGTATAACACATATTTCAATAACTTGATTAACTTGGTCCAAAATAAAATATTAACTATATTTTAAAATAAAAATATTATGGATATAATTTTCCATTTAGTGTTTTTATGATGCATATAGTGTAAAATTCTCCTCATGATATGATTAATACAAGGCATGATTGTGAGAGCATTTAAAATTAAATTGCTTGAGACCACTTTCTATATCATGCATAACAATTCTAAGCTACGACTTTTTCACTTGGGCTCTTTGAAATGCTCATCTTTTAACCTCTTGTAGAATTGAAAAGGACAATATGTTTAATTTGTTTTTATCTAGTGATTGATTGATGAAATGACTTCCATTCTATATGTGATTCTAAAGATTAATAAAGGCCGGGAAGATGAGACAAGGCTCTTCAGAGTTCAAATTTAAAATAGGTATATATATATAT